TGAACACATCCCAAACGTTTCATCGCATTTTTCGTCATCAGCTAAAGAAAATATCATGCACATCGTGGTTGTGCAAGTTCATGCTAATATACAATAAATACTACGGCTAAGTATCTTTTTTGAATGGGTATGATAGATATATAACAGAACCCCCAGATTTCGTGAGCCCATTGTTAAATTGTTTTCCATTTTTGAAAAAGCAAAAACGTAGAAAACATTTTACCGCCTTCAAAATGCTGACTGCTTCCTTGGAAAGCCATACAGGATACAGCACGTCGTCATGTAAAATGGCTTCGAATAAGTCATCTTCGTTATCGGCTTCGAAAGGTGGCTGCCCCGCCATCATTTCATACATCAGCACCCCCAGTGCCCACCAGTCCACCGAAACTCCGTACTCCATTTCCTGCAAGATCTGCAACGAACCAATATCAGCAGAAAGGCCGATTAAATGCATGGACATTGGCGCAATTTAACTTGGTTAAAGTGATGGGATACATGCGACCTTTCTTTCAAGCCAGTAGTTCTAAAATGCTCATACTATTTTTCTTAATTTTTTACCGACTTATTTAGAAATAGCGAGTTTAATTTACCACAGTGTCAAAAAAACCGCCGCATTTGCCACAAAAAACATCTCATGAAAATCGTGTTTGCTGAGGCACAGTCTATCCTGACTAGCTTGCCTTTCAAACTCGCGAAAAAAGGATGCTATTCGACTCTGGCAATGTTTGACGAAAACAGGATTTTTTAAAAGTTTCTACCACCATTAATTTTTCATTCCACTTAGTTCCGATACTTCTTTGGATATCAGTGTTGATTATTAGGGCGACTCTCAGCAAATTTTGCAACTTGGCACCTGAATTTTATGATCCTCCGTGCAACCACCGCCAGTGCTCTACTATGGATGCGCCACTGCTATTATTACAATGTGATTACCCAAAGAGAAAAAGCCTACCTCCGGCGCAATGTAGTCAGGTGTACCGCAAAATGTTGAGGTAAGTTTGGAACTCGTAATCCCTTCCTTGCACATCCCGAAATCCGCCAATCGGCAGTGCCCGTCTGCATCCAGCAATATGTTATCAAGCTTCAGATCACTAAAATTCACATTTGAAAACACGAATTGCTGCTTACTAGCAGGCATAGTGCACTGGAAAGTGGCAGCACCGTAGCACGCAAAGTCCTTGAGTACAACTTCGTCCAGTGGGATACTCAAATTCTCGTTTCGTTACTTCCTTCCGACTGCAGACTGGTACTGACATATTTTAAGGAACAAAAGCCAATATCGGTTTTTTTTTAAGCAATTCTCGAATAAAAAGCAGGCCGCATTAAGGTAGCTTGCATGAACTTGCGTTCTGTTCAGTTTTATGCAGCGGATTTTGGCTTTTAGATTTCAGCTTTTTGTTTTTTCTGGCCCCTGAATTCAAGATTTTACGTAGAATTTCACGTGCTCACACGTGAGGCATAAACGGAAATGAAAATTGAATTTGGAATTCCAAGGTTGCCCAGTGACAGGAAGCATCATCCTATGTTGTCAGCCATCCATCTTGTCTGGTTCCTGAAGTAGGAAAGTCGTATCAAATTTTCAGTTTTTTTCTTTCCTGGTGAAAAAAAATTTTATTTTGAGTCGGAAAATTTTCTAAAACATTTGCGTGTCCTTAAGTAAGAACTAGGCGTGATGGAGCTAGATTCGAATTTTAGGAGCGGCGCACGAACGGAAAATCTCTTAAAAATGCAGCTTCTTAGCTTCTCTGGTTCCCGATTTAATGCTTTCGCAACAAGATTTATATGTCCATACGTAAGACCCACTTGCATTTAGAAACTGATTTGCAAATCTTTGGGTCGCAGATGGACAGAGAACATTCCCCAAATGTTTCAGTCCCCTAACTTTCCTGGTCCCCGAGTTGTTGGTTTTCAAGCTAAAACTTTTATTTCCCGTACATGAAAACTAGGCGTCTGTGAAATCTCAGAATAAATTTACAGGGTCACAAATGAGGACAGTCCTAAAATTTAAGCCTCCTAGCTTTTTTGGTTTTTCATTTAGCAAATTTCTCGTCAAAACACAGGATCTAAGCGCTGGTGGAGTCTGAATCGCTGGTGGAGTCTGCGAGGTTGTACACGGTTACAGGGGTGTCCTGAAATTTCAACCTTTTAACCTTTCTAGTTCCTGAGTTGAAAGCCCAGATAAAACGGATCCTGAACACAACACATACGCACAACACACACACACACA